CCGCCCTGCGGCGCTGCTCTTGGGAGAGAATGGGGTACCTGGCGTGCATTTGCTTCTCCTCCATCTCTGGCTGCGTGGTTCTGTACGCATGCTCAGAGCCGGATGTCAGTGCTGTGAAGTTCAGGCTGCAATGGCCAGCTCAGCACAGAGAGGTCGGGGGCCCTGCCCTAGGCCACACAGCTGGACTGGCTGAGTCAGGATGGGAATGAGATCCTTGATGTCTAGTTCTTCTTCTATCTCACAATAAAGGTGACTGTTCCATTTTGTATGCACGTGTGTGTGTGTGTGTGTGTGTGTGTATAAAAACCTTCCAGGAAGAATTTTTTCTTTTTTTGGTCAGTTGTGGGACTTGAACTCCAGGCCTGGGTGCTGTCCCTGTGCTCTTCAGCTCAAGACGAGCAGCCTTGAGCCACAGCGCCATTTCTGGTTTTCGAGTGGTTTATTGGAGATAAGAGTGTCATGGACTTTCCTGCCCAGGCTGGCTTTGAACCGAGATCCTCAGGTCTCAGCCTCCTGAGTAGCTAGGATTACAGGCGTGAGCCACCAATGCCCGGCTTCAGGAAGAACTTTTTTTCTGTTTGGGCAGTCTCATCAGTGGTCTGCTATAGCAGAGTTTCTTTCTTTCTTTCTTCTTTCTTTTTAAAATAATTTTTTATTGAGATTAGGTGATCACAAAGATTTCACATATTTCACGTATTGTGGAATAGTGATAGTTAAAGTCACAAACACTTTTTAGCCTTCACGAGACAAATTGTCATTATCATGGTCTATAAAGCTTGTGAATTCTTTTTTTTTTGGTCAGTCGTGGGGCTTGAACTCTGGGCCTGGGCTGTCCCTCAGCTCTTCAGCTCAAGGCCAGAGCTCTACCACTTGAGCCACAGCGCCACTTCCAGTTTTTCTGGTGGTTTATTGGCGATAAGAGTCTCATGGACTTTCCTGCCTGGGCTGGCTTTGAACTTCAGTCCTCAGATCTCAGCCTCCTGAGTAGCTAGGATGACCAGCGGGAACCACTGGTGCCCGGCAAAGTTTGTGAATTCTATGAGCTTTGACAATACAGCTGTTTCTTCCACATCAGGTGGTGATATTTACATTTCTTTGTTTTTGCTTCGTGTAAGCTGCTCACTCTTTCCCTCTCATTCTCTTCCTCCCATTGTTGCCCTTGAGTTGCTTAGTTCATTTTCATCAGTGTCTGGAGCATAGAGCAGAGTTTCTTAAGGATCCAACTGGCTTGCAGGTGGCAGGTGCGGTGGCAGCCGTCTTGGAGGCAGTGAGCACAGTTGAGGGCTATCTGAGGGTGGCTCTTGCTGCAGGCACAGTGCTCTTTGACGTCCCAGCCTGTGCTCAGACCACCTGGGAACCGAGCCTGGAGGCCCGGAAGGCCAGATCGCCAGGCGATTCCTTCCTGACCACAGCAGTGCATTCTTTGCCACCGGAAGTGTCTTCTCCGAGGCCCGCCAATGCCAAGGCTGCTGCTGGTGTGTGCTGGGCCGCCAGAAAACCCCACCGAGGGGCCTTCTCCTGCGCTCCGCATTCCTCTCCAGACCTCGAGGATACTTCTTATGCCTGGGAGATCCTCTGCCCCCAACGTGTGTGTGCGTGCGTGTGTGTGTGTGCGTGCGTGTGTGTGTGTGTGTGTGTGCGTGCGTGTGTGTGCATGCCAGGACTTGAACTCAGGGGTTCACACTCTCCCTTGGCTTTTTGCTCAAGGTTGCCACTCTGCCACTTGAGCCACAGCTCCACTTCCGGCTGTTTGGTGGCTCATGGATGGTAAGCGTCTCATGGACTTTTCTGCCTGGGCTGGCTTCGAACCACAGTCCTCAGATCTCAGCCTCCTGAGCAGCTAAGATTGTAGGTGACAGCCGACACGCAGCTTCCTTTGATTGTTGTTTTGCTGCTGCTGGCCGCTTCCGGGTACAGTGAGCTCTGGGTATGACTGTCCCCTCCCCCACTCCCCTCCCCCCCCCCCCCCCCCCCAGGCGAGGGCGCTGGCAGGGCCGGCTGGGAGGCCAGGCTGCTGGGGCCCTGGAGGGGCTCACTGTGGTCCTCATCACCTGTGCTGCCCCGATCCCTGGGCACCAGGGGTGGGCTGGGCTCCGGGAGTCAGGGCAGACCTGTCCCCCTAAGGTCTCGTGGGGCTGAGACTAGAGGTGGGGTATGGAGGCATGGGGGAGAGGTGCCCAGTTCAGGGCTGGGCTGGGCCAGGCAGCTCCCACCTCCTGCGTCGTCGCGTCCCTGAGCTGCCATGGTCATGAGTTGCTGGGAGCAGGGCCGGGGCACGGAGCCTGCGCAGAGGGGCCTCCTTGCCACACTCACCCAGCACCTGGGGGCTGGCAGAGAGGGTGTGCCTGGGCCTCACAGGCCTTGGGGTAGAGGGGGTAGCCCCTAACTTCAACTAGTCATTTCACCCCCTCTCTCTGGCCAATAGAGCCCCCACCCCACCCACCCATAGGCCCTGGCTGGCCAGGGCCCCGAGCGGCCCACGTGGGTCTGTTCGGCATGCCTGCCGGTGCTGTATTGGGCCAGCCTGGTGGGCGTGGGCCCAGAGGTGTGTGGGCCAGCAGCAGTGGACAGCAGCGGTGGACTGCAGCGGTTTCCTTGGCTCAGACTATCCTAAGCACGCCCCAGCTCCAGGTCAACTGGGGGCCCCAGCTCTCCTGCTGGGCCCCCCAGCTGACCTGGGGGGGTCTTGTGGTGGCTGAGGGCTGTGATATGAGGTTGTCCTCTCAAATAGGGCCAGATGGGGGCATGTCCCAGGGTCTCTGGGGCCTCTGGTCCTGGGGGACTGTGGGCTGGAGTCTGGGGAGCTGGGCTTTGGCCAAGCTGGGAGGAGGTCTCAGAAGCTGCCAGGCATCAGGGTGCGAGGCCGGCCTCTGTGGGAGGGGTGGGCGGCGCCCTCCCGGGGCCGTGCGGTGGGCGTTCCAGGGGCCCTCCCCGCAGGTGCCTGTACCCCCACCCCACCCGGCCCAGTGGCCACGTCAGGCGCAGAGTCTGGGTGGGCCTCCTTCCTCAGGGTGTAGGCAAAGCCCCTCTCCTGGGGCATCCATCCCTTGGCACTACCGCGTGGTGCCCGTCTGAGCCTGGGCATCTCTGGGGCCCCAGCAGCGTTGGATGCTCCCGCAGTCTTCACTGTATCCCTCGCTTATTTATCTGGACTTGCTGACACCCAGCAGGGCCAGGCCGATGCCAGGGGCTCCCACCCCTGACCCCCTGCCCCTCCCCTGCATGCTAAAAGACGTGGCGAGGAGTCTAGAGCGAGGAGGGGCAGGGCGGGAAGCCACTGCCAGCTCCGAGGGAGGGGCGAGGCTGGATCGGGAGGGGTTGGGGCTGCGTCCCAGGCCCAACAGTGTGAGCAGCGGGGAGACAGGGCTGAGAGCCCAACGAGGTGCTTTGGCTTTGTTTGGTACCTGTGCATGTGTGCCAGGCTGGCACAGCTCTCACCACCACCCACCCAGCTGGGCTCCTCTGAGGGACTTGTACCATCTCGGCGGCCTGGGCAGCAGAGGCTGGCAGGTGCCTCGTCTCCTCCTCCTGGCCAGAAGACAGGAGAACTTTAGGATCAATCGGCCCAGGCTAGACCAGGTCTGACTTCCCCAGGGGTGAGGCCAGAGGCCCAGGCAGGGGTGGGAGGGGGCGGGGGAGGTGGGTGCATCTACGGCTCGGAGCCTACCCAGCCCCTGGCAGACGCTTCTGGCACCCATGGGCCACTCAGACTTCAATCAGGGAGCCCAATTTGGAGACAAAGGCCCGGCTCGGGGGACAAATAGCCACGGATATTGTCAGCCAGGCGGCCAGGCAGCCGAAGCGGGACTCGAGGAGGGCTGAAGAAAGGGCTGAGGGCGGGGGCCGGAGAATGGGCCGAGGCTGTGCACCGCCGTTGCCCGGGCGACGGTCCTCTCACAGAGAGGTCGGCCTGGCCATTGTCCGGAGCCCGCAGGACGTGTCACACACCAGATGGTCGTGTGCTGTCTAGGTCACTTACCGGGGGGACAGAGTGAAGGAATGTGGCCAGCTCGGCGGGGCCGGGGCACCATCTGTTCGCTTCGGCAGCGGGCACCGGGCAGGCACCGAGCACTGGCCTGGCCAGGCCCAGCCTCGACTGCGGCTTTAATTAGCTAATTCTATAATTGGGCTTTATTTCAGGTAAATTGCATTTCACACCCGAGAAGGCCGCAATGGCCCTTCCAGGGGGGAGGGGAGCGCTGGGCGCCGTGCTCAGCGGCTCCCGCGCAGCGCAGCGCAGCGGCCCACTTGGAGGCCCCGCCGCAGCGCCCGGCCCGGGCACTGCCTTCCAGACAGCCCCGTCCTGGGCTTGCACAAATATTTACCCAACAAGGACACAACAGCGCCCGCCTTCCTGATCGTCGCTGCCCCCACCCCCCCCAGAGTGCAGCCACGCGGGCGGGGAGCCCGAGGCTGAGCTGCCCCTGTGCTTTCCCTCAGGACTGGCCAGGTCCAGTCAGCACTGGTCAGGCCGGGCACCAAGATCCCACGGTGGGAGCCGGCGCTGGACTCGGGAGAACACCAGGGGAGGTGGGGGCAGGGAGCACCAGGGAGACCCGGATCCTCTCCTCCCCCAGCAGCCTCAGCAACCTCCTCACACCTGTGTCCCCTCTCTCTACCCCTGGCCACCCACTGCCTCGGGACCCCGGCCCGCTCCACGCGTGAAATCTCAGATGCCTCCAGCCCCACGGCCAGGGATTCAGGGGTCCTTTGGAGGGACAAGAGGGGTTCACAGAGGAACCAAGGTGAGTGAGCTTAGCGCTGCCCGATTTCTCTCCTCTGAGCTGGGCACAGCACTCATAAACAGGCAGGTGGGCACAGGCCAGGGCAGGACGGCGCCAGCAGACACCACCTGGACAGGCGGGGTGAGCACCGTGTCACGGAAGGGGAGGTGGAGGCCTGCTCTGTGTGGTCTCCCCGGTGGGGGAGGGGGACAAAGCCGGGCACCAGGTTGTCCTTGAGAACCCGGCTCTACGTCGGCACCAAGACCAACCGTGGAACTCCATGTTTATTAGGAAAACCCTGCAGAATGATTAATCACAACCACACCGTGAACCTCATTAAAACACAGATTCCCCATCACCACAGATTATCCTGATGCCCAGGAGATGCGAGGCCCGCAGGGAAGGGCCGTCCAGGGGGCCCGTGGCAGCCTCCAGCCCACCTCCGCCCCGCGCCTCGCCAGTGCAGCTCCTGCCGGGGCCTCTGTCCATCTGTCCCATGGCGGGGGAGTGGCAGGCTATTGGGGGGAGGGGCTGGAGAGAGGGGGAGAGACGGAGACCGGAGGGAGAGGGCAGAGGACTCGGCTCTCCATGCCTGTCCTGAGTGGGGCAGAGGGCTGGGACAGGCATCCTGTCCAGGGGGTGCCCCGGGAAGCCGGGTGCCTGCAGCCCCCTGCCCCGGCGTCCTCCTCTGTGGGAAGGAGGGAGGCAGACCCTCCCGACAGGGCCCGGGGCTGGCCCCGCCCCGCTCTGCGCTGCCCATTCTCTGTCCAACTTAGACTGGAGGCTGGGATGAGCCCCCTGGACCTTTCTGGGCCTTTCCGTGGTCTCTCCTCAGGAAGTCAGTGTCTTCCCTCAGGGTCACCCGGCCAGGCCAGCTGACCATTGCCCCTGCCACCGTTCGGGATGCGTCACCCGAGCGGCGGTGCACACCCAGTCCAGGTCGAGAATGGGCCTAAGGGGGCCCCCGCCGGGCTCAGCTGGGCACCAGTGTGACCCCCGGGGCTGAGGCGCCAGGCGCCGGCCTCAGGGCCTCCCCGCCGTGCCCCGTGGAGAGGGGCTCCCCTCCCAGAGCCCTGCCTCCTCAGGAGCTGGGGTCGGGGCTTCTGGGGGGCACGGTCAGCTGTTCGTAGGTGGGCAGGGCGTTGCTGGGCAGGAAGAGCTCAGGGCGGATGGAGCCGTCCTCGCCGTGGGCCGGGCTGCTGCGGGCCGGGGGGGCTTGGTGGGAGGAGAGCAGTCGGTGGAGCATGTCTGTGATGAGCACCAGCCTCTGGTCCAGCTGTGTCACCTGGGGACAGGAAGAGTGTGTGTAGCGCAGGTGACAGTCTGGAGACCACCTCAGGGCCCAGGCCAGTGAGGCCCGGAAAGGGGTATGCCCATGCTGCCCTGTCTATCTGCGTGGCCTGGGGTCCCTGTGGGCGTCTGGGCATGCACAGCGTTGGGTGATGCCTACTAGCCTCCAAAGTTCTGGCTAGACCCTGGAGTCGGTCAGCACCCCCTAAGTCCTGGCTTTGCTGTGGCCTTTGGCTTCCTGGGGGAGGCCGGGGGTCAAGGATCATAGGAGCCAGGCTCGCTCAGGCTGCAGAGCGCTGCCCTGGGACAGCAGAGGCGGTGGGCGCGGGGCTCCGCGGGGCTGGGTGTGGATGGTGCGTGGAGGCCGCTGTCCATCAGGTGCCTGGCAGGAGGCAGAGACCCCGGCCCCGTCGGGTGACCAGCCCCCCCGGCGCTGCCCTTCCCCAAGGCTGCGCCTCTTTTCCTGTCATCCCTCAGGCCCCCTTCCCTAACTTAGTGACACCCCCATCTTCCCAGAGCCCTGGGGGTCAGGTCCGTGCCAGGCAGAGCTCCTGGCCACAGGGCCTCTACCACATGCCTGTCAAGGGCCAGAGGGGAGGTAGAGGCAGGGCAGGGCTGGGGATAAACGAGGCCCAGAGTAGGCGCTCCATCCATGAGGAGCCCAAGGTCTGCCTCCTCCTCAGAGGGCCTCCACGGGAGCCTGAAGCCCGAGGTGGTCAGAGCGCCCCTGGAAGGGAGGCGCGGGCTCACCTGCCCTGGAGCCCTGTTCTCATGGCCGGAAGTGGCAAGCCGGCCGACGGGAAGGTGGAAGCAGCAAAGGCCCTACCTGGGAAGGCCGGAGCCTTCCCTGCCGAGCCCGCCCTGAGGGCTGGGGAGGATGGGCCTGGCAGAAGTGCCGGGCACGAGGAGCTCAGGGCGTAGCAGTGCTCGGCTGGTGCCCTCTGGGCTGGCACAGGCTTTGTCCTGGCCGCTGGGCGGGTGCTGCTCTGAGGCCCCCAGGGCACTGAAAAGACCTGAAACGGGGGCGGGGCGGGAGAGCAGCCCGACCGACGCCAGCTGAGAGTCAGGCGAGCCCACGGCGGACGCCGGAATGCGTGGCCGGGGTGACTAAGCCCTGCTGACCGCCGGCCGGGGGGGCCGCCGCCGGGCGCCTTCCCACCTGGACCTGCACACGTCTCTGTGAGCGCTGCGCCCCGGGCTGCTGATGGCGACGGGGATCTGGGCGGGGTGCAGGCCTGTCGGAGGCCAGCAGGTCAAGAGTGTTGGATGGAGGGGAAGCTGCCGGTGTGCAGGGCTTCCGGGGGCCTGCTTCGTGGGACTGCGCTGTGGCCACCAGCCTCTTCTAAGGTACTACAAGGAGGGCCAGGCTACCGTGGTAGCTGAGGAAGGGTCTCTCCTGGGCAGGGCACAGAACACATGTCCCAGCAGTCCCTGGATGCCCCCCCACCCCCAGTCCTGCTGGCCCCTGGGAGGGAGGGCCCAGGCCCAGGCATTCCCCTTGGCCCCAGAGTTCGGATCCCAAGACACCACACCCGCAGGATTCCTGAGGTCTCCACCCATCTTTCTCCCCCGGCTTGGGCTGTCGGCAGCCATGGCCCTGACCACCTTGACCGTGCTGAGCCTCGGCTCAGTGTGCAGGTGCCCGGGGAGCACCGCGCCCTTCAGAGAAGAGAGAACCTGTTCTGAGCACGGGCTGGTCTCCCCAAGGCCACGGGACAGATTCGTGTTGGGGACCTTGGATCTTGCTGCCATTTGCAATCTGATAGTGACTGAAAGGCCTGACACACAAAAGCCCCTTTTGTGCCCTGCCTCGACACACCAAATTAATAACCAGAGAGGACTTCGGCGGCCTCGGAAGAGAAAAAAGCAATTAGAATAACAGCTAGTTAGAAAGCCCACGGCCGCCGGCCACCGTGCCCAAGGAGGCAGAGAGTCCCGTTTGATGTGGTTATGAATTTGTTTTCAAAAGAAAAATTCTTGAAAAAGAGTCTTTCAAGAGAAATTTTTGAAGAACCTGCCCAGCCTCCACCCGATTCGGCTCGTCTGCAGGCGCCTCATCCAGCCTGGACTTCTTTTCTTTTCTTTTTTGCTGGTTCTGGGGCTTACGCTTAGGGCCTGGGCATCGTGCCTTAGCCATTTTCAACGAAGGCTGGTGCTCTATCGCTTGAGCCGCAGCTCTCCTTGCAGATTTTTGATGGTTCATGGGAGATGAGTCTCATGGACTTTCCTGCCCAGGCTGGCTTGAGCCATGGTCCTCAGCTCTCAGCCCGGTGAGGAGCTGGGATGGCAGGCAGGAGCCACCGTGCTCTGCCACCCTTGTCTCTCGCTGGGCCTGGTGTAGGAGTAGCCCATTGCTTTGCTGGCTTCTGATCCCCACAGCTTTCCACGTGGAGATCCCCCCACTGCCCTGCCGGCCCAGGACGTGCCCAAGCCCCTTTGTGGCTGTGGTCCCCAGCCCCCATTTTTCACATGGCCTCTTCTCCCTCATCCTTCCCAGGCCTCTGCCGATGCTCACACGTCTCCATGTGCTCCAGCCTCTGCTGGTCAGGGCTGCCCTGCTCCCTCTGCCAACGCTCTGCTCTGTCTTCGAACCTGGTGCTCTCACGCCATCCTCCCTCACCTCCCACCTCCCCCACGCAGCCCCCAGCTGGCTTGGGCACCCTCAGCACCAGCCCAGGGGAGGACCCTCAGCACCAGCCCAGCACCAGCCCAGGGGAGGACCCTCAGCACCAGCCCAGGGGAGGACCCTCAGCACCAGCCCAGGGGAGGATCAGCTGTTGTTGAATGAGCACAGTGCGTGTGCAGGCCGGGGTACCCAGCCCCACTGTGGAGCTAGCGCCTGTAAACCACCCTGGCTCCTGGTGGGGCTGGCTGGGCGTGCGGTGCGGACACAGGGCACGCAGGTCAGGGCGTTTGTGAGGCCGCAACACCTTGCGTTCATGACGGTGTTAAGGCTCTTGGGGAAGAGTCAGGGGTCGTTTTCCTTGCTAGGCTGTGGCTGCCAGTCCCCAGGGGCGGCTGCCCTCCTGCTGCCACTGCAGCTGCACACTGGAAGGGCCGCCGCAGGCGCACAAGCGGGCCCAGGAGCGTGCAGGCCGAAGGGACCACCGAGACACACACTCTGGGGCTCAGGTCAAATCCTTCTCACTTCCTGTCTGCGTAACCTTGGCAATTCCTTTCTCCTCTCTGCACCTCCGTCTCCCCATGGGTAGCAAGAGGATGGTGCTGGAAGCTTCACCGTTTTAGTGTTGTGCACCTCGGGCACATCGCCTGACAAATGGAATCAGCCCAGGTGCCCATCAACATGCATGGATAAAGAACACGTGGTATGTGTATACTATGGAAGATTACACAGCTATGAAGGAAAAGGAAATCATACCTGTGACTGGAAGATGTTGTACTGAGTGAGACAAGGCAAGCTCAAAATCAAAATATTAGGTGTTTTCACTCATATGTGGAAGGAAGACCTAAATGACACACTCTCCCAAAGGACATCATGCACACATGTATATTTACCCACATACGTTTATGTATACATGGGTAAACACAGAACATCAGACCACAGAACTATTTAGGAGAAGGGGAAGGGGGAAAAGAAGGTGAATAATTTTGTAATACATTGCCAAGATATATGAAAACAGCTGGTGTCACGCCTGTCATCCTAGCTACTCAGAAGGCTGAGATCTGAGGATCACAGCCCAAAGCCAGCCCGGGCAGGAAAGTCCATGAGACTTGGTGAGCTCTTTATGACAGCTTCGTCTTGGGCTGGGGGCTTGGCCCAGGCTGCCCAGTGGCTGGGCCTGGCCAGTGCCCCCCAAGGCTCTGCCCAGGCTCGGTGGTGCCTGCTGGCTCAGCAGAGGGGTGCCCACCGGAGCAGTCCCACATCTCATTAGTCCCTGTCCCCCAACGGAGGCATGGAGCCCCGGGGTTCCCCCCCGCCCCGCCCCGCCCTGGCCCCATGCTAGACGGAGCACTGTAGAGGGACACGGAGTCTACTGGGTCATGGCCACAGTGCAGCCCTGCCCTCCCTCCACACCAGCCACGTCTCCTACACCTCTACTTCCAGGCTCAGCTCTCCCTGTGGGGCCCAGCACCCCTTCTTTGAGGCCTGCAGGTCCAGTAGCCCCCCCCCCCACCATTTCTACCGAGGAGCCAGGTCCCCTGCCCGTCCCTCCCTTTCATCTTAGCGAATGGGGCAGAGGTAATGGCGCCGGCCAGCGGCAGCCCCTCGGCCCCGAGGCCTCTGCCCACCTGCTGTGTGGGGCAGCCTGACTGGGTGGCTGAGCAGGGCCGTCCAATGGGGGTGTGGAGGTGTAGGGGACCCCAGCCTAGGATGGGGGCCTTAGGCCTCCCCCTAGCAGGCCTTGGAGGGTCTGCTGGGCGGGCCCCGCAGCGGCTGTTGGGCCAGGCGGGCGGGAATGTAGGGCAGGCTGGAAAAAGAGGCTGGAAGCTGAGAGCCAGTGTTTGTGCTGGCTGCGGCGGGTGCGCCCCGCCTGCATTTGATTCTCTGCTGAGCTGGAGTCCCGGAAGCCAGGGGGACGCCGGGCAGAACGCTTTGTACCTGAGGCCAGCAAGCGTGGTGGCCTCAGCTGAACCAGGCGCGGACCCTCGGCCCAGCTTGAGGCGCAGGTGGAAAGGGCCTCGCCGCTCCCGCTGGCCGCTCTCTGGCTGGGCCTGTCCCCTCGGCCACTCCCCGCACCCACCAGGGCCCTGAGCTCCAGGTCTGAGAACTCAGGGCTCCCTCGTGCACCGGCTCCCAGGATCCCGACAGGGCCAGTATGGTTCTACTACCCTGCGTCCTCTCACCTGCCCCTCTGCGCCCCGAGAACGCACAGGCCCACCCACTGCTGTGGGGCTCCAGAGCTCCTTCACCTCCCTTCCTCCACTCCACACAAGGCCGGCCCCCAAAACCAGGCTGGTTAGGCTACTCTGAGCCTGTGTCTACACCTATGGCCACCTGAGGTCTATTCACCCATGTGAATAGCCCAACCTCTC